GGAGAGAGAGAGAGATAAGACTAGAGAGAGAGAGAGAGAGAGAGAGAGAGAGAGAGAGAAAGTCAGTCAGAGAGACCGACAGACAGACAGACAGACAGACAGACAGACAGACAGACAGACAGACAGACAGAGCCCTAGACTGAACAATCATGGAGCAAAACAACCCAAATTTAAAACAAAGAACAAATAAAAATGAAGCGAACAAATTAAGAACGACGCAAAAGAGATACTTATTCAACACTTAAGTCCCAAGTTGAATGCCTTAGTAACGAAAAGATAAAACAAAGTTGCTGAAACTGGCAGTCTTATTGTAACTTTTGCCCAAAAAAATAACAACTTTTCTCACAGTTGATAAACTTTAGTACCTTTGTGAATTATTATTATTAATATTTTTTGGCCTTTTAATTAAAGAAATGACAAGTGGCCATAGCATTATTGTGGACTGTAACTATTATATATGATGTAATAGAAAGGTATTTGGATAACTATACATGTAATTGGCGTCATAATTTACATTTTAAAACTCTCTTGATAGATGTCAAAAGGACAAACCTATGACGTAGGTCCGTCAGGGACGTAGTGACCAGCGCTGCTGTATGCCCTTGTTGTACTTTGTGCTGCCTTGGGTCACGGCTTATCGACTTGTTCAGTGGAACATCATCAAAAACATCCGTGAACTTACAGCAGACGTAAATCTTATAAAAAGCGAAGCTTCCAGCTTCAAATTTTCAAAAGATGCCTCTCTAATCCTCAGAAGATGTAGCCATAGAATAACCAAAAGGCCCCTGTAGAAAAAATAAAGTGGGCCTTTCCTTTACTTCGCGTCAGAAACTTAGTAGCAGTCAGAATTGCTGAAACATTTCAGCCGTTTGGTCCTTTTGATAAGAAAGATATTCCTAGATTTGATTGGCTTGTTGGTAGTCCTTGAAACGAGGTGTCGCAATCTCATCTTACACAACTGCCTCACTTGTGGTCTCGGATCTGTTGGTGGCTGCAGTCTTACACGGTGTGCACTCTGAAGTTCTAAAGAAGAAGATAAACATGAAGTTTGCAGGCTGTACAATTCTCCTTTCCGTCTTCATTTCTCTGTGTACAGGGAAACAATCCTTCATTATTCGAGATTGCGGTAAGTGATACAATATCCTTCTATTTTTCCATCAATAAGAAATGTATACTCTAATGAGAGTTCACAGACAATACACCTCATTTCCAAAGCCACCAAAGAGTGGATATCACTGAAAAGAGGAGAGACCCCCTTTCCGTGATCTTTGACAGACCCAGTTTTTGTGTAAAATAAACACAAATGTGTATTTAATAAGCAATTTATAAACTTTCAGGCGCTCTACCCTTCGTTTAAAAAAAAATATATGAACGGAATTATTGCAGCTAACACAATGATGGAAAATGTCCGTTGTAAGTACAATACATTTTTAAATAACACTCAAAAAAACATTCCTATAAACGAATTAGTCTGTTATGGCGGGGAGGGGGGAAAGGGGGATATTCCTCTAAGTTGTATAAATAGTGGCCAGATTTCTTTCCTCTTTTTTTGTGTGAAAATCTTGAGAGAAAAATCGGAAACCTCACCCTGGGGTGTTCAGCTTAAAATGAGAGAAGCAATCTTCTAATCCGATGATGTCATCATCTGTGTTCGATCCTTTTCTGTTTACGTGTAGGCCGGGTCTGGAGAATGAGCTAGAAGGGCTGACGTTGGTACCCTCATTTCCCAGAGATTGCTGGTGCTGAGGGAGAGGTGTGTGCTGGTGTACACCCAGATGCAACAAAAGGTCTTTGGACAACCTTCCTGTCTTGTTTTCCATCAAATACTCAGTTGCATCTCAGTTGTGTCGACCTAAACTTTAACAATTAAATTTTATATAGAGTAGACTTTTGAACTCTTTAGCTTCTAATTTCCCGTTGGAACCGTGTCTGCCCACAATACTCCTACATTGTTTTTTTTTAATTTTTAAATAAAGAAAATCATTTCGACAGAGTGACGTTTATACAGCGTAAGCAAAAAGCAAGACAGATAGGCAGAAACATTAGCGGAAAAGAAAAGAATTAGGACCATCAAGAACTACTCTCCAACCAACCGATTTCGCTATAGTCGTTCGTCGTCTTAATTACAAGTAACCGGAAATTGTACCTAAGAACTCATTTCCCTTTTGGGGGGGGGGGGGGGGGGTGGCTATTTATTGAACTTACCTGTACATTAGGCCAATATACACACAATGAATTCAAACAATTAAATTAATTATCTTCAGAGAAGCCCCCCCCCCCCCCCCTCCCCCGTGTTTACAGGATATGTCACAAACTGTACACTGAACGGTAAACTTTAAACTTTCCATTCGAAACTACGCAAATCCGAGTTTTCAGTTCTTTGCAAGGCCACCTATTGGCTTATTTTGATAGAATGGATAGTCGAAATTTACTGTTACCAAATTCGATGCTCCTCTTTTTTTTCTAGTGTATTCTGCAGTCTCATTGTTCTTCATTTACGCAGATTTTTCAATTCTGTGTTATTTGCCTGAAGCTTAAACAGGCAAGAGCTTGGATACTATGAAATAAACAAACTCGAGTTTCTGAGTTGTAGCCTATACGTCTATACAGTATTAGAATGTTAGCAATGTTTCTCAACATCACCTTTGATCTGCTGGCAGCTGTTGATGGGACATATTGTGTGGCCGCTACATCCTTTAAAAAGTCAAAAGATAATCGTTTAAGGTACACCACGGCAGTAACCAACAGCCAGAAAAAGTCTATTTTGGTATCCAAAAATCGATTTTTCGATTTTGGACTATTTTCGAGTAGAGTAACATCTGCTTGATCGATTGGTAATATTTTCAAGTGTCTAAAATATCTATAAAATGCTTAAATATGCCATGTTTTTTAACATCGTGTTGAAATAAACCAGTATGAATTCGTTTTTTTTCCGTTTTCTCAAAACTATGATTGTCTTGGGGGGGGGTCACCTAAGCAGAAATATTTCTGAAAGATTGACAGTATAACTCTGATTTGTGATCAATTTTTTTGACGAAGTATCGTCTATGACACTAAAAGGGCAGTTACAAAAAAAGTATGAGACTTAGGAAAGTAAATCTTTAATACATATACCTTGCAGGTTGTATATACAGAAACACTGTGTGAAAATATCAAGGCTGTATCAGTTCAATCTTTTTAAAGGATCCCTGTACAGAATTTGCTCAAATTTTGGTCTGTCGAACCCTTTGCATCTAAAGAATTTAACAATGGACAGTGAAATCATATAGGGATAGTGTGTTTCTGTTTCTTGACCCATATATTGGTTATTGGGAATCCCAGTATACTTAATTTAGAGACCAAACAAAAAATTTCACTTCTGCTGTAGGCCTACCTAGTGTTCCTTAAATCAGAATTCAAGCTGCATGCGGAAAAAAAGAATGGAAATCAAACCAATTTACATTATGTGGCACCCCCCCCCCCCCCCCCCCACTTCTTTCCATCCACAGAGAATCCCGACAATGCAGCAGTGAGTCTTAAGAGTGGCAGTGTAAAACCTTACCCCGTCGCCATCCCGGGCATTGTGACTGTGACGGGCAGTGGCTCTGTGAATCGCAACCTCACAGGGGGTGGCCTCGACCTCCAAGTCCACATCGAAAGATACGTCGGATTTCTATGGGTCACAGTTCCCTGTATCAGCGATGTTGGCAGCTGGTTAGTTCTCAAAGACATCGCCACCTACAGTACTAATGTAGCGCCTTTTTATTGTTTCCTTCTTAACTACGTACTGTGGCATTCCCGTACATTCCTTCTTACAGACAGTGGCATACATCTTCTTTCATATTTCGTTTTTTCTCTTTTTTCCGTCTCTGTTTCCACCTTACTTACTCACTTTATTCCAATCCTGCTCGTTAGCAACCGTGGAGTAATGTCTATGGCCAAGACCTGGTGTAGTTTAAATTTGTCAAACTTCGATCGGTGGCGCCGCCATATTTCCCCTAGATTAATGGGTGGTCAAAAACTAATTACTTTGAAACAGTTGATTAAATCATTCAAAATCAAACCAGTTTTATTGTCTTGAACGCTATTCCGTGTGTTCTATACATTTGATGAAAGCAACGAACTAGAGTCTTCTAACTAGAAGGCTGCTAGGCAAAGCTGAGTCCGATTTTCTTTATTTGCTCACAGAACGCCAAATGTACTTACGGACTTCTGGTCCAAATTTGATGAAACCAAACTGAGGGGTAAATATTATATAGGCCAACACACATTGTGGCCGGCCTAGTAATCGACCCAATCAGATAATAATATTCTTTCACATGGCATCCATTAATTAACCAATAGGTGCCCGCTGTTAGATTTTCTGTGACGTAATGTTTAAATTATCTGCGATGTAATGTTTAAATTGTTCGCTGTTGCGCGTAAGAGACTTGAGTTCGTTTCCTGAGTAGGGGAATTAATTCATCGAATATCTCCGTCTGCCTTCGTGGATGCAGCATATCACTACACTCCATTTGACCCTGACAGCCATGGCCGGAGCAGCCTGGTGACGATGGGGTTGTGAAACATGAGCTTTAGGCTACAGTTAAAGATTGTAACGTTTCCCACCGACAGTCTCATCACAGTTGTACGTAAATTGGACGTCCCGGCTGTTAATACCGGGTGCCCATTGCGGATGGAATCTGGTCGGATCGGGTCGGGTCGGGTCGGGTTGGGATGATCTCCCGACTCGTCGCCTGAAAACAAACGCACTTATTTTTGAGGCGGCGAGTCGGGAGCAATTAGCTTGTGTCACGATAGCTGCTTTGCACCCTCAATCTGGCTAGCAAACCGACCCGACCCGACCCCATCCCCAAATGGGCACCCCATATAACGTTTCAGCTTTTGCAGGAGCCTCGATCCGTACTCTTTGAGTTACACACTTCACTTAACGGCGGACGTCTCAGACTCCTCCCCACTCCCCTTTCAACTGTGTTGTAATTATTGCCACCTCCAAACTCCACAAGTTAGACTTTCTAAAATGTTGGTAAATTTACATTACATTCACCATTGTTTTCTCATTCTCGGCTGCAACTCTCTGGCCACCCTGTCTACCGCTTGTTTATGGAGGGCAACTTTTATGAGAATGACAATCGGAACCACGCCACCTCCTTCCCCCTTTTCCCGTTCAATCCACATATTTTTGTCGACTGTGGATTGCTAAGCTTTGCGAACACTATTTGGATAGATAAAGTGGTAGACCACCCCCCCCCCCCCCCGGAATTGAAAACCTTATCATCAGAATCCAAACTATTCAGTAACCTTTTTGGTGGTGGTGGTGAAGTGCGTCAAGTGGGGAGGGGGTGAGGGTGCATTGTTACATTACATTTTCTCGGACACATAGTTTACCTTTAGTTCGAGTGTGCTATTCAAAAATGAATCATACACAATTATCAAATTCTTAAACTTCGCCTGCACAAAATTAAGTGTGACATATTTTTAAACACAGGATTTATCCTTTATTCAAGAGACGGAACCTCTGATTTTAAAGTTCGTCTCCAATAGGACACAGGGCCAAGAAAAATCCGTTGAGAGCACCAAGCAATTCAAGTTGAGGAATAGTCTGTTGTTGGGGGAATAATCCATATCACTGCGGTATCCAGTATCAAGCCTACAGATTTGACAGACGCAGCATAATTATAGTAGGCCTAATTAGAAGTGAGTTATTTCAAACATCGCATGGGACATAACTATATTTTTTACAAATTCATTTATACTTGTCCTTTTTCAGTCATTACGACCTCTGCAATAAGCTTTCCGAGGCTTTCAGCGCTAAAGGGTGTCCAGCCGAGCTAAAGGCCAACAACGTACCCTGCACATGCGATACCCTCAAGCCTGGCACGTACTCCTTGAACGCTCAAAAGTTCACGATCCCAGAACTGAGCGGGCTTTACTCCTGGCTGGCATCGGTACGTAAGCCTTTCTCCATGCGGATGTTGTTAAAGTTTTAATACCATCGAGAGATGTGAGATATACGAAACTTAGCATCGTCATGTACGCAGTTGCTGGCATCATAGCAAACCATTAGACTCCCTGAGAAAACGGCGAGCCGAGTTTACTCCAGAGGAATTACGCACTTGGCAATATTGTATCCTTGAGAAAGCCGCTTAACACCAAGTTTCCTCATTCCACCTAAGTGGGAATCGATACCAAGCCACAGACAACGAAAGATCTTGTCAGTATGTTAGTGGTTTAGCGTCTATAATTATAAAATAGCAGCTTGCATTATATATTATGTTTCCTAGAAAGTTAAGACTGTTTCACAAGGCTATCAGGTCTGCTGAAGTAATAATTAATTGTAAAGTGTAAAGAGCGCAGAAAAATAGGAAAGACATAGGCTTCAGAAGAGGCGATAGATGTTGAAAAGGTTAGCTGTATTAAGATACAGGGTGATCCAAAAAAACCTTTACCACTTTTTTTCTGAATATCTCGTGCAATAATTATTCTAGAACGCTGTGATTTGGAACAGACATAATTCATTCTAAAGGAATTTGTTTGATTTCAAATCCACGAAGAAGAAACATGTTTTGAAAAGGGAAACGATTTTTAAAAAAAGCACCCAAAAAAAACGCGAAGTTCACCAATGTTTAAAAATCTTGTAAAGGAAGTCATGAAAAGATTAGCTGACCGTTTTCTTTATTTTATCGCTGACATTAATTTTCCATCCCTGTGACAGCTAAACAATATTTAATTTCGTTTACAGAGTTTTAAAAACCTAAGGGTTTCATTTTGAAATTCCTAGAAGCAGTGCTCCACATTCCCTCCTTCGGACTCGACACATTTTTAACGCGTCGTTCGAAATGTTCAGTGACACCCTAACACAAAGACCTGTTAAACCATGAGTCTTTAAAGCCACATACACTGTACACGTTCACTAAGAAGTGGCTTCTAGAGGCAATAGAGTGGGGTGCCCAATAGACAGCATATGTGAGGCAGCGTGGTGGAATCAGGCTCTCGTCAAAATAATCAAAGTGAAGAAACCTGCTTTTTTCCGCATGTCTGTGAATTTTAATCAAATTTTTGTTTTTTGGCTCAACACCTTTCATGCCAATTAAAGAACTCATTTCTGTGTGGATTTTCCTGAAAAACGTTAATTAAAGGCACAAAATATGGAAATTTTCAGTTACCATGGACTCTTAAGCTATGGAAATAACTAATCTTTGGCAGCCATTTTCTCACTAACTTTTCCTCTCAAAATAGGTGACCCCCACCTCCTTCATTTGCAAATATCTCGACTTGTATTCAGGATAAATTAACATTTTTAAAAATCCAAATAAAGACAAGTGAACAAGCTTTAAGATGATACCAATAACTCCACATGCCCAAAAATTGACGAGAGCCTGATTCCACCACGCTGCATCACATATCCCGCAGGGTGAAAATGGGCTTTGCACTAAACCAAAAGTCATCGAGGAAATGATCCTTCTTTACAAGACAATCAAGGAATCAGGAACACATTGCCATGCTCTGATCCATGTCATCTCGGCCTAGCGCAGATGAACATGGTATAGTCGTAGGTTAAGATCTGCCATGAGAATGCAGACTGTTGATGTGTAGAAAAGTCCTAGGTGCAGATCGTCTATGGAAAGACCTCTCATGGGACTCGGCTACTGAAATCTGCACTCTGGTGACGTTTAAAGGGCTGCACACGGTGCGTGTTCGACCTGAAGTGGTCATTTTTTAAAGAACTTTTTAGTTCTGATTCGCTATAGTATAGATCCAAACTGACGGAACCTCTCTACTCATGACGCCAAAGGTTTTGGGGGCCCCTTAGCATTCTCTCCATGCCGTGCGCAGAACTTACGAAATGTCAGGGATCGTGAGTTTGTGGAGAGGTAAAATTCAATACAAAAAGCTCTCAGCTCTTTACTAAACGTAGCCATGATCTAAGCAGGCAAACAAAATTTGAGAAAAATAAGATCTGCAGACTTCTGTTGACTTGTTAAACTGCTGTAGCTTGCAATAAGGCGCGATTGTTGCAGCTTTTAGAGGTAGGCCTAATGCGAACTGGTGCGTCATGCTATGAAAATGGCGACAATGTTGAAAATGGGTTGTTTTTTTAATGCGCTATATAGAGCAAAACCATTCAATGGACTTATCTAAAATACATATCAGAAAATTTATTTTGGCTTCCAAACGTTATGTTCAAATCTGAAACGCAAGACTTCAGTATGGGGGAAGATATTTACAAAACAATTTGTAAAGTTTTTTTTGGGATCACCCTGTATATTGGTACGCTCATGACCTTTGGCCCCACCTCTATCGAATGAGATACATGTAGGGCCTGTTGAGTTCACGCTCGTTAAACATACCAACCTTCACTATCTCATTCAGCCCACAAATTGTCCACGCTGTCCCTAGATGACTAAATCTGTTTTTGACAAAGCTGAAAGTCATAAGTCAGTAAGCTTACTTTTCTTACCACAAGGACCAATTACCTTTAGGTCATCCTTTTTATTCGTGATACTGCAGAATTAATAATATTTGTAACATCTCGATTTTTCCTGGTTCGAATTCATCTCCGACTGGACGAGATCACAGGGTCTTTATATCACTCCTCAATCTTGGTTCATGTCCCTCTCCGTAAGCCCGAGTTTCCTCTGCGGTAGTCAAAAGACTTGCAGACTATATTATTTGTACTAAAGACGTGGCGTTTATGTTTTGTTGTTTTTTTCTGTCCAGGGTGACTACAAAGTCGACTTGAAGCTAACTGATCGTGCAACGAAAAAACAAGTTGGATGTGTGCATCTGGAAGGGACAATAGTGGATGGAAACGCATGTGAAGGCTTTTTGTGCAGTATCTTTGGTTAGTCGGATACAGTGAAAAGACATTGGTACCGAACGAACATGTAATTAAAGTATTGGCGATCTTATTATGAACATTATTGTTTTATTAAACGAAAGGGTTGTCTCCTATGCCACATGAAGACTGCCTTAAGACATTTAGTGTGCACACCATAATTATTAGGGCTACGATAAATTTGGTAGACTGCGGAAAGGGATAGATGTTGCTTTAGTTTTGCATAGCGAGGAGAACATCGACTCGATGAAGCTTACTAGATCATGACGCAAACAAAGATAATCAGAAAGTCGGGGGGGAATGATTGTTTGTCCTCTATGTCAATGAAGATACAATCAGACCATTCCGAAACAGGTATACTTTGTCTGGTACTGAAAAAATGATAAATATGAAGAAAGGGTTATTGTCATTTATTCACGTCACTTTACAATTAAAGGAGTTGCAAATTCTGCCGGTCGGGAATTCATGGTCATTTCGTTGTCTTCTTGGAGGTAGCAAGATCGAAGAGGAAGACTATCATGAATCGAAGTTTGAACTCTCATCATCATCATCCAGTGCCTGATCTGCGACAGACATCAGCGATAATGGCTTTTCATTCATTCCTTTGATCAGATGCTCTAAAAAAAAAGCTGCGTTTCCCTGATCTTTCCCTGTTACCCCGTTTGTTTAGGTTCCCTGAGTATGTTGTTCTGGGTCTACCCCTGCCTCGCTTGCCCTCAATTTTGCCGGTGAGAGCTAGACGTTCAAGACCCTTATGTCTATTCAGGTGTCCCAAAAACTGCATTTGTCGTTTCCTGATTGTGTTTAACATTGAGCGTCCCACATGGGCTTCATCAAGCTCTACCTCATTTGATTTCTTTTCCTTCCACGATACTCTTAGCAGTCTCCTAAGAAACCACATTTCTGTTGCTTCTATCTTATTTTCACTGTCTTTAGCGATTGTCCAGCATTCACGATTGTTTATTTCCTCTTCGAGTTTTTCAACGAAGACAAAAATATTCAGGAGAGTGCAACATGTATTTAAGCTCATGGAGAAGTGGTAATGACAGGGCTCAGGAGCACTGCATGTACGAAAACTGATCTCCTGGCCGGCCCAAAAAGAAGTTTTTAAAAACAATTTTAGTAAGGGTTAACGGCGCTCGCAATTGCATAAGGTCATAGGCGCGCCAAAGGGTGGATGTCAACAGAGAAATCCAAACGGGGAATCCGGCTTACTATTGTTCACCTCTCTAGCCTCAACAGCAGGCACCCCGGAAATAGCAGTTCACAAGAGAGTGACAAACATACAAAAGAAGTAGAGGAAAATGACGATAGGAAGGATGAGGAAAGAAAAAGCAGCAGTTCCCCCTATGTTGTTCCGGCACAGTATGAGCATGACATTGATAAATCTACAATTCCTCTGAGCATAAGAACATGTTAATACATAACCCCCCCCCCTACCCACACCGCCACCACCCTTTGGGAATGCAGTGCCTGTAGAAGAATTCCCGTTATAAAGGTTAAGCACCAGAGTGAAAAGTGACAACGCTTCATCAAGTCAAGCTATGTCTCTTTAATTAGGTTTTTCGATGTGGTAATAATGGTAATACTGCCCAGTTGTTTTTTTTTTTTTTGGGGGGGGGGGGGGGTTTGGGGGGGGGGGGGGGCTTGGGGAAAGGAGGGGGGCGCCCCTGTCGACACAATTCAGATTATTAGGAGGCGCGTTTCCGACCCTGCCTGTTTCCGACTCGGCTGACAAGGATACAACGTCCCAGAAGAAGGACTGAGATGCTCGATAAAAATTCGTCCCACGCAGGTATCAAACTAGGGTCTTCTGCGTGAGACAGGAAAGAGCGTACCCGCTCCACCACAAACGCCAGTTTTCTCACTGTGACAAGTTATCATTTCTTTGTTTGAGTAACGAAAAGTACATTGAAACGAAAAATGGTCATCTAGTGCTGGGAAAAAAAGAAGACAGACAGAAACAACAGTGGGAAAGTAAAGAAGTGGGACCTACCACTGGCGCTCTCCACCTACTAACGACACGTTATCAGTTCCGCGTATATAAACTAGATCTATATTGTTTTCAATTGGTAGTGACGAACAAAGATGGGTTGTTATAGGTTAAAATTGAACACATTTTTAAAATGAACGTTTTTTTTTAAAGATAAGAGGTGGGACTTCCGAATGTTACGCCTATCTGCGACAGGACCGAGCTAAACAGCTGGAGAGCACCAAATTTCATAATAAAAGTCTCACTTTTGAGGCAGTGTCATTTGCACCATCTTTCCAAATGTACACACAAGGACAACATACATTGTGTACTGTCTTTAGTGTGAGGACCATACGCTGGTAAAAGTACACGTCTATTGTGAGGACAAGTCTTTTCAAATATTACACGGCTGTGGTACTGATAATTGCTAGACAGTGGATTTTTTTTTCTTCAATGATATAACGGTTTGAGACAACAACAACAATAACGATAATAACACTACTAATACATGTATGTACACATTATTATGATGATGGTGGTGATGATCATGTTCATTACTAATAATTACTAAAGTACATTGCTGTGCCAACGTGCCTCAAGGCACCAGGGAAAGAATTGTTTCTTCAGGACTGAAAAGACAAGCAAACTTTTGTTGATCCAGACCTTTACGATTTACGTTACAGTACGTTCCACAGAATTTGGAGCAAATTTACAGAAACTGCTTGCAGTAGTAGCCTCTTTAAGGTGCATTTATTGTTTCCTTTGGGAGATCTATTCACAAGTCTTGCACGAGAGTGCTCTCCTGTGGGCTTATAGTTGCCACAATTGTACAAGTGGGGCACGTTTACGTTTTGTTTATATTTGGCCCTCAATGGTCTGCGAGCCATCTAAGGCTATAGCACACTACGACATTCTTGTCTCGGACAGCATTGTCCTGTCCCACTGTCGATTTTTGCCTTTCAAAACCACAGCTGTACACTATAGGCACCACAAAAAAGGGCCGCCAACAAACTCAAACGTTTCCGTGTCACGTGACCTCGTACGGACTCTAGTTTACAAGGAGGTAGCTCTATGGTCAAAACAGACAACAAAACCGCACTAGGACAGGACTGATCCGGCCCATAAGGCGGCTTTTTTGTTGTTGCCCGCGGCGAGGTTAAAAATGCATTCCAAAAATGTCCTAAACATTGTCCAAATTTAAAAAAAAAAGGATTTTCGTGTTCAGCGACCCAAAATTAGCAAAAATCAGGCGGGAGACACAATTTAATGCCCAATTACGAAGTTAAATTATATATTTGTATGTGTGTGTGTGTGTGTGTGTGTGTGTGTGTGTGTACGTGTGTGTGTGCACGTGTGTGTATGTGTGTGTGTGTGTGTGTGTGTGTGAGTGTGTGTGTGTGTGTGTGTGAGTGTGTGTGTGTGTGTGTGTATGTGTGTGTGTGTGTCTGTGTGTGTGTGTTTCACCGGGTGACATTGATACACAACTTCACCATTGAAGATAAACATTTTAAAATAAAATAATTTTCTAACATTTACATAGTGGAACAAACCCGTCGGGATTTTGATACCTTTGAATTCGAGTGTAATGTACCGCACCTATTGCGACAGGACATTCTTGTCGATTTGAGTCCCGAGCAGTTGTGAATATTTACAAAATGGGTGGGACAGTGGATTATCCCAGTCCCAGGGTAATATCGTCTGTGATTATAGAGAAATATAGCCGCCTACTGCATTAGGACAAAACTGTCCCAGACTTGGAGGCGTCTGCTGTCAAGATCGTGACGCTTGCGCGTTGTGACGTAAAATCACTTTAAATAGTTTAAAATTTGCCTCCGCGAAGGATTAAACTTGGGGCGCAATAATAATTATCGCATCTCAAAACTGATTTCATATTCGGAATCAACGTCTCAAAATAAGAAAAGTGGCTCGAAAGGAACCTGATTTGATGAGATACTAAGTACATTCTAGCAAATTATTTTATTTTTTTAATTGATCGTCAATGGTGAAGTTGTGTATCAATATCAAGGTCCCCGGGTGACACACACATGCACACACACACACACACACACACGCACACACACACACAAACACACACACATGCATACGCACACACACATTATTATAATATATAATTTAACTTCGTAATCGGGCATTAAATTGTGTTCCTCGTTCGATTTTCGCTAATTTTGGGTCGCTGATCACGAAAATCTGATTATATATTTTATTTGGCCAATATTTAGGAAATTTTTGGAATGCATTTTTAACCCCGCCGTGGGCAACAACAAAAAAGGTGCCTTATGAGCCGGATCAGTCCTGTCCTAGTGCAGTATCTGTTTTGACATGCAAAAAATCGGCAGTAGGACAGGACAGTCCTGTCCGAGACAAGAATGTTGTAATGCGGTACTAGCCTTCACAACTGCTCGTATTTACTTTGAATTACTGCTTGAGAGAGCTCATTGCTTTACTCTCAGTCTCAGCCTTTCCCTGTGGCACGATCTTGAGGAAAACACATGAAACTGCCAAAAAATGGTACATGTACTGTACCGTACTCCATTTACTCATCATGTCCTGTCACCTACAGATTCCTTTCTCTATTTAGTTGTTTAAAAAAAATAGAAAAAGATGGATACTGTGGATGATTCTACAAACAAAGGGAGCAGATGAAAGAAAAAAAAAAACTCCACCTAGCTGAAAACATGTTGGTGCAACTGAGATGAAGGCTTTCATTGGTTGTAAATATAGATCTAGTAGGCCAATTACTTTTAGTTGATATTAAAGCACCGGCCTAGACGGTCAGAGAATGGTTAGTATAAGAACGTATAGGCACCGCCGATCATTCCTTTCATCGAAAGGGGGCCCAGCTAGTATAAACTATAAGTAATTGGCCTACTATATTTACACTCTACTGGAATGGGGCCATAAATCTTGAGAGATGCAAAAAATTAGAAAGTCTAGATCAGATCTATCAATACTCTCAAAACAAAACGCGCCTCGCGAAGTATCACTTCCGGATTTTCTAAATTACAGAGACAGAAGCGTCGGCCTACAAAAACGATCGGCGAAATAAAGAAATTTAGCTTTTTGTAGCAAACCTGTCTAAAAACTGAAAAGAACCAAGGGCGCCATGCTCTGGAAAATATTTTAAAGAATTTTTT